GATTTACGTGAATAGTATTGGAAATCTAACTTCATGGTGTAGCGATCTATATTTTAGAGTAGCAAAAAATAGTATTGGAATTTATCTCTCAAAGTTGGGATAGTCTTGTTGGTTACAAACTGCTGGTACTCTATTTGTCACAGCAGTTCTGTCTTAGCATAAAAAGAATCCGTATGTTTTTATGTATTTACAGGTCTTTTACTTACGAGAATTCTGTTTTATTAGTTATTGTTAATGTATTTCTTCATCCTTATGGAAGATAAAGGATGGGCTAAATCATATTTTGGAATACTATAATTGGTCCAATATACAGGAATCTTAGAACTCAATTGGCATATGGACCTTTAAAAAGAAGAAATGTTTTAGTTCTCTGTGACACTCCAGGATTCAACTCATATATAAATACCATACACATAATTTCTAGATGTGCGAAAGGTGTTAATATATGTGAACATACCCATATATTATATGTGCATCCACCATTTACACACACAGACTCACACTCCTACTATAGTATAGGTGTTAGTTTTGCTTATGGCATTATTGAATTCTGCAGCTTCTGTCAGTTTCACGAGATGGCATCTGAGAGTGGGAAAAGCTTTGCAAGGAGAGATCGTCTCCTTGAGATTGAGACAAAGGTACGAAGCTGGTGGGATGAAAAAGATGTATTCAGGGCTGAACCTTGTGAAAAGCCTCCGGAACCAGGCGAAAAGTTTTTCGGAAACTTTCCGTTTCCATATATGAATGGTTTTTTGCATCTTGGACATGCATTCTCGCTTTCCAAGCTTGAATTTGCTGCAGCTTACCATAGATTAAAAGGTACAAATGTCCTCTTGCCATTTGCTTTCCACTGTACTGGTATGCCCATTAAGGCCTCTGCTGATAAGCTTGCTCGCGAGATCAAGCAGTTTGGGAATCCACCTGTATTTTCTAATGAAGTAGAGCAGGCAATACACCAAGAAACTGAGCCTGAAGACAACAATGGTGCTGCACCTGCATTACCTGATAAATTCAAGGGGAAGAAATCTAAAGCCGTGTCAAAATCTGGTGGCCAGGCATATCAGTGGGAGATCATGCGCAGTTTTGGCCTTTCAGATAGTGAGATAGCAGAATTCCAGGATCCATATAAATGGTTGCACTACTTTCCTCCATTGGCAATGGAGGATCTTAAGGCTTTTGGCTTGGGTTGTGACTGGAGGCGTTCCTTTGTCACCACAGATGTCAACCCATTCTTTGATAGCTTTGTGAGGTGGCAGATGAGAAAGTTGAAATCATTTGGAAAGATTGTCAAGGATCTCAGGTACACAATATACTCTCCCTTAGATGGCCAACCATGTGCAGATCATGATCGGGCAACTGGTGAAGGTGTTCAACCACAAGAGTACACTATTATAAAAATGGAGGTTGTGCCACCTTTCCCTCCAAAATTGGGTCCTTTGGAGGGTAAAAGAGTTTTTCTGGGTGCTGCTACACTTAGGCCTGAGACAATGTATGGGCAAACAAATGCGTGGGTACTGCCTGATGGGAAATATGGAGCCTTTGAAATCAATGAAACTGACGTATTTATCCTCACTGATAGAGCAGCACTTAATCTGGCTTATCAGAATTTCTCCAAGATACCTGAGAAGCCTTCTTGCTTGGTTGAGCTGACTGGTTATGATCTAATCGGACTTCCCTTAAAGTCTCCGCTTTCATTCAATGAGGTCATATATGCTCTTCCAATGTTGACTATCCTAACTGACAAAGGTACAGGGATTGTTACTAGTGTTCCTAGTGACGCGCCTGATGATTACATGGCTTTGCATGATTTGAAATCAAAACCAGCTCTACGAGCAAAATATGGTGTAAAGGACGAATGGGTATTGCCCTTTGATATTGTTCCCATCATTAACATTCCAGAATTTGGAGATAAGGCTGCTGAAAATGTTTGCATGGATCTGAAAATTAAAAGCCAGAATGACAAGGATAAGCTTGCAGAAGCGAAAAGGTTAACGTACTTGAGAGGATTTACTGAAGGAACTATGCTTGTTGGAGAATTTGCAGGCAGGAGGGTCCAGGAAGTTAAGCCACTGATCAAAACCAAGCTCATTGAGACTGGTCTGGCAATTATGTACAGTGAGCCTGAGAAGCGTGTTATGTCAAGGTCTGGTGATGAATGTGTTGTGGCTCTTACAGATCAATGGTACATCACATATGGTGAACCAGAATGGAAGAAATTGGCTGAGGAATGCTTGTCAAACATGAATCTCTACTCTGATGAGACACGACATGGCTTTGAGCACACCTTAAGCTGGCTAAATCAGTGGGCTTGTTCTCGATCCTTTGGACTTGGAACTCGTATTCCATGGGATGAACAATTCCTTGTTGAATCATTGTCTGATTCCACTATTTACATGGCCTACTACACAGTTGCTCACCTATTACACGATGGAGACATGTATGGATGTAGTACTTCACCAGTGCACCCTAGTCAGATGACTGATGAAGTATGGGATTTTATTATTTGTGGTGGTCCCTACCCCAAATCATCCACGATCCCTTCACCAATTCTTGGTAAGATGAAGCAGGAGTTTGAATATTGGTACCCATTTGATCTTCGAGTCTCTGGTAAGGACCTCATCCAGAATCATTTGACATTTTCCATATATAACCACACCGCATTAATGCCCAAGCAGCACTGGCCTCAGGGATTTAGGTGTAATGGCCATATTATGCTCAATTCTGAAAAGATGTCCAAGTCAACAGGAAATTTTAGGACACTGCGCCAGGCCATTGAGGAATTCTCAGCTGATGCTACAAGATTCTCTTTGGCTGACGCTGGGGATGGTGTTGATGATGCAAATTTTGTATTTGAGACTGCAAATGCAGCAATCTTAAGGCTTACAAAAGAAATTGCATGGATGGAAGAGGTTCTTGCTGCAGAATCATCTTTGAGAACAGGTCCTCCTTCTACTTATGCTGATAAAGTGTTTGAAAATGAGATGAATATTGCTGTTAGAATGACTGGGCAGAATTATCAAGACTACATGTTCCGGGAGGCCCTCAAAACTGGCTTTTACGACCTTCAGGCTGCTAGAGATGAGTATAGGTTCTCTTGTGGCAGTGCGGGTATGAATCGTGATTTAGTGTGGCGCTTTATGGACGTGCAGACTCGGCTGATTACTCCAATTTGCCCTCATTATGCTGAGTATGTTTGGAGGGAGCTTTTGGAGAAGGAAGGTTTTGTAGTGAAAGCAGGTTGGCCAACTTCCAATGATCCAGATTTAAGGCTTAAAAGTGCCAACAAATATTTGCAAGACTCAATTGCTTTGATGAGAAAGCTGCTACAGAAACAAATTTTGGGTTCAAAGAAAGCCAATAAAAAGGGGGCACCAGTTACGTCACTGACAGAGGGGAAATTAAAAGGCTTGATATATGTCAATGAACAATTTGATGGATGGAAAGCAGAGTGCTTTGAGGATCCTTCAAAGCAAATTTGACAACAATACCCATACATTTGCTCCAGACAAGGATATATTGGAGGCCTTACAGAGGAGCACTGTTGGACAGGCTGCTAACTTCAAACAAACTCAAAAGCTCTGTATGCCTTTCTTAAGGTTCAAAAAGGATGAAGCAGTTGCACTAGGAGTGCAGGCTTTGGACTTGAGACTGCCATTTGGAGAGATTGAGGTTCTTCAGGAGAACTTAGAGTTGATTAGGAGACAACTTGCTCTTGAAGAGGTGGAAGTATTGTCTGCCTCCGACCCTGATGCTGTTGCTAGGGCTGGTACTCATGCCTCGCTTCTGAATCAGAATCCTCCATCCCCTGGGAACCCAACTGCCATCTTCTTGAGCAGGTAAAAGAACCCTCTTTAAAAATAATATCTTTGGTCTTTATGAGCATTCTTTATCTGCACCTGGCTTGTATTATTTTGGAGAATAAAATTCTTGTTTCTACTTTAATAGCCAATCTCGTTTTTCAACTTTTTTATCACCATTATGATCATATCTTAAGGATATGGCTGCAAGCCCTTCAAGCATTATAAATGATTATAATCCTTGTTTCATGCAATTTATCTAATGGCTTTTTAAAGTTTGATTTCACCAATGTTGTTTTTCCCTTGTTCATAGGTAGCTGAAAATGTAGGTGTGGAATTTTGGTGTTTAAGCACACTAGTGTTTGCATGACGCAGGTAGCAAGAGATATGATGATTGTATGTTTCATGACTAGTGGAAGAAGGTGGCTCATTTTTGTTTAGATGAATTGGTGTGAAGTCTGGTTCAATTTTCCTTGTCTCTTTCTTTGAATATCAAAAATGTTAAAGAAAATTCAGACTGAAAATAATACTATTAGTCCTGAGCAGAAAATGTTTTGGCTTTTCAACTTTTGGACACGTTTCACTTATTCTGGTATTATTTATGTAATTTCATTTTTGTGTAATGGTTACTAGACTTTCTTCATTTGGTTTCATGTTGAAATAAAATTATGTGCTGAACTGAAACAGGTATGAATAATTGCTTTATCATATATGGCAACAGAGGAGTGTGATTGCTTTTGAACCCTAGGTAACACCCAAAATCAAGGGAAACTATTTAGATATACGTATGTATATATATATATATATGTATGTATTCTCTTTTCCTTTATTTTCTTTAGCTACAAGTATG